CTCTCTCTCTCTCTCTCTCTCTCTCTCTCTCTCTCTCTCTCTCTCTCTCTCTCTCTCTCTCACACACACACACACACACACACACACACAAGCATGTAGGAGCCGCGTAGCCTGTGACATCTGTCTGCGCTGTGCCATTGGATGTAGCAACTGTGACTGCGGAAATTGGATGCGGTGCTTCCATAGTCCTTCCCCGAACCGGTGCTGTCCGGTCGGTAGGAGTGGCCACTTACCATAGGCAATAAGTGCTGCTCGACCAAAATATATTTTTTTGCAACCCTGTGCCATTCTAGAGTAGTCTGTTCCAGCAGTGAGTGTTTAGAATTCTGTGAAGTTCGTCATACACCTCTCCCCTGCCCTTTGCATGTCATACTCTATCCTGCCCTTCACAGATTTCCTTCCTGCCCTTTGCCCCCAACTCCCCTGCCCCATACTCAAATAGAACTCAACCTTCTATCCCTTTCCCTCCTCCCTCCCCTCCACTGCCTCTGTGCTACTAACAAATACATATGAATGAGCATTGGTAATAGAACAGATGATATGGAGATCAGAAATGAAGTGAACGGAAGTACGAAGATGAAGGACGGACACAAAGACTGTATAAGCTGAAGATCTGAAGTGAAATGAACAGGAGTATGAAAGCCTGAAGAGAAATGCACAGGAGCATTCTGAAGTGAAACGAACAGGAGTATGAAGGCCTGAAGAGAAATGCACAGGAGCACACTTTCCCTTTTCCTCTTTGCCTCCTGAAATAATGTGCAAGTGGGCTGTGAAGGCCCACGGAGATGTGGGCAGCTGCCGCTCAACCACAATCAACGTGGGGAGCCTTGTATGTAAGAGGCACAGTAAACGGGGAGTTGCAAGAACAATGGACGGGGTAATCCAAGGACGACCAAAAAACTGTCTAATTATAAAATTGCTTTGATATGTTGGACTGTGACTGACTCATCTGAAACGCTCTCGTTTTCTGCAATAGGACAAAGGGCCTCGTTCAGCACCACTTGAAAAGTACTCGAGTTTCAAGTGCACACTAAACGAGAAATTGTGATTAATTTACAATTTTACACACACTTGAAGAAACCCTTGAACAGGATGTTCTAGTGTGCACTTGAAACCGAACTCCACGGCTCGCTGACCAACCAATCCTGGACCGGTATCCGCTGGCACTTGAACAAAAGGCCCACTTGGAGTGCTGGCCTTTGTTCCTGCTGGAGAAAAAAAAAGAACAAAAAGAAAAAGCGCCACTTGGAGTGCTGGCGGTATCAGCTCCCCGGAGAGGTACCTCGAGTTCAAGTGCGATTTTTCCCTGGCTGCACTCGAGTTTCGAGGGCGGGCACTTCAGAGCCGGAAAGTAGAAACAACTGCGTGGCGACGTTAGGGTTTAGGGTTGGACTAAAAAATTTTCCTTCGAACCCGGAGAGCTGTGTATCCATTCAACTCGCAACGGGTTTTGTACAACTCTGTTGTACCCGTTGTACACCCCCGGGGTCCGAGTTGAATCCCCGTTGAACGGTACAACGGGGGCTTCCCGTTGAAATCCGATCAACGGGTCGAGCCCAATGGGCCTCGGACACGTGGCAGGATACGCGTGGAAAAAAAAAGTGAAAAAAAAAAGTAAAAAAGAAAGTAAAAAAACTGCTCTCTGTGTGTGTGCGTGTGTGTGTGTGTGTGTGTGTGTGTGTCTGTGTGTGTGTT